GCGCCGCCGTGGCCGCGCCCGCCGCCGCGGCCGCCCCCTTGGCGTCCGCGTCGTCGGCTGCGGCCAGCAGCAGCTGCGCCACAAGTGCGGTGGCGCCCTCCGGCAGCGGCGCGGTGGGTGAGTACACTGCCAGCGCCTTGGGGGCCCAGTCCCTGTAGTGATCCGCCAGGTAGGCCGCCACCTCCCCTGCGTCGCCCTCGACAAAGCCGCCCGAGCCCTTGCCCTGGCGCGGCAGCGGTGCGCCATGGCAGCAACGAGAGGGCGGTGCGGATGTGTGCGGGGGCACCATGTCTGGAGGCGTGGCAGCTCCTGTCCTGCCCCTCAACGCGCACCATGCCCACCCGCCTGGGTCCTCGCGCAGCCGTTGGTCCACCAACCTGTCTCACTGTTCACTCACAGTCGAGCGCTCTTCCGCGCTTCCACCCATGCCTCGTCAGTCGACGACCAAGCCCCCCTGACGTCCCTTGGCCCCTCAAATGCGTGTAATGTCCCATCCCATGATTCCCTGCCCCCCGTGCGGCATTCAGGCCAGCGCCCCTCACTCCCCCCCCTCTCATCCCTCACCCCCCCACCTGGTCCAGTGTGTATTCGTGCAGCTCCTCCAGGTGGCGGCTGGGGTGCTTGGCCTTCCAGCTCTTGCTGTACACGTCTGGCGGTGTATTCAGGGTTGCAGGGGGGGTGTTAGGGGCGGGGGTGGAGGGGCCTCGCGCGAGTGCTGACTGTGCTGTACGTGGGCGGCGGGGTGGGGCTGGCAGGTGACGAGGATTCCGGGGATTTGGGATGGCAAAGGCAGAGAGGCGGATGCACGCCACCAGGACGTTGGCACGGCAGCATTGAAGGGCCCGCGCGGTGTACAGCTCAAGTGACGCGGGACATATCCACTGTGCACGTTACTCACCCAATTGACACAGTGCCTCGTGTGTGCTGCATGATCGCAGATGCACACGCATACCACCCCGACCCCTGACATACATGCCCAATCCTACGTAGGCCGTCCCAAGTAGCCGCCTCCCCCATGCACACGCAAACGTGCACTCAACTGCACACACGGCCACGCACCCACACCCACATTCACCCCCACACCTACACCCACGGCCCGCCTTGCACACCGCGCACCCACCCGCCACCATCATGGCCAGCAGCCTCACGCGGTCGCGGCCCGCCAGGCCGGCCAGCAGCTCGCCCTTGGTCAGGGGGTGCCGCAGCGACAGAGGCACGTCCGTGCCGACCTGCGGGGCGCAGGCAGCGTCGGTGTCGCGGCCACGTCAGCCTCTTGTGGGCCTAACGGGGTCGGCAGTCCGTCTGCATGCTTGTCTCTGGGTCCCAGTTGTGTGCGTGGCTCCCCTATGGTTGCTGTTCTGCCTGAATCTCGCCACCAGACTGCCTGCTATCACCGCCAGGCTGGGGGCCGCGGACCCACCAGCACGCCCAGCAGCGCCTTGTCAGCCTGCGCGCGGTCATTGGCACCCTGCGCGCGTGCGCGATGACGCGCGCTGTCCGAGTACAGCCCGGCCCCCTCCGCGGCCCCCAGCAGCGCCAGCAGCAGCCGCAGCAGGCGCGTCCCCAGGGCGCGCAGGGACTCGAGCTGTGGGGATAGGTGCAGGGGGTTGCAACAAGGGTTGGGCAGGGAGCAGTGCGGTGTTGAGGTTTTGTGGCGGTCTGGTGCGATGACGATGGCCATGCAGAACGGTTTGAGAGAATACACAAATGAAGAAAATGGCAGAATAGGAGCCCCTGAGGCGCAGGTCGCAGCCCCATCAGAGGATGCCCCATAAGCCCCAGCACCCACCCGCAGCGGCACAGGGGTCGGCAGCGGCGCGGCCGCCCCCGGCTTGGGCGGCGCCTGCGGCTGCGCCGCTTGGGGCAGCACGCCGTTGGCCTGCTCTGCGCGGCCGGCGACTGCGAGCTGGGCCAGAGCGCGTATGAGGTGCACCTTGTCCCCCTGGATGCCCACCCAGCTGTTGTCGTCCTGGGCAGGTGTGTGTGTGTGCGCGTGCGTGCGTGCGTGCGTGCGTACGTGTGTGTGTGTGTGTGTGTGTGTGTGTGTGTGTGTGTGTGTGTGTGTGTGTATGTGTATGTGTATGTGTGTGTGCGCGTGTGCACGCGTGGGTGTGTGCGGGTGCGCGCGTGCGAGTGCGTGCACGTGCGTGCGTGCGCGCGCGCGCGTGTGTGTGTGTGTATGTGTGTGTGTGT